GAAGAGGGGTCACAAGGGGCTAGGGAGGTGAGGTACAGGTGTGACATGGGGAGGTCAGATAACAGGTACCAGAACAGAGTTACATGGGATCTATAAGTTCTAGGGGTCTATGGCATAGTAGGGTAAATAGAGATTGCAACACCATTTATCATATATTATATAATGACCTATAAAAGAGGAGTTCAAACATTCTGAACCCATAGAAATGATGTGTGAATAAGGAGAAGGGAATGCTGATTACCTTGATCTGACCCATTGGATACATATGATCACAAAGCACTTCATGAATAGGCACAAGTATTGTCTATTAATTAAAATTTCATAAAATTTAAAAAGTGAGTCAATTCAACCCAGTATGTGAGTTTGGGAAGGACACATATTCATACCTGATGTGGAGAAAGGAAGGTGTGCATGGAGTAGAGCACGGGAGATGGTCAAGCACTTTTTCCTGTGCCTCCACGCCTGCCAGGGTTGGGCAGACAGTTGCTGGATGAGCCATTGCTGACACTCAGGCCACTGGACCTCAGCGTCAAGACCATAGGTTGTGCTGGGGATATAGGTCAGTTGGTAGAGTGCTTGCCTCACATGCATAAGGCCCTGGATTCAATCCCCAGCACCAAAAAAAAAACAAAAACAAAACAAAAAAAAAAACATAGGATGTTGTGTAGCAGGGGAGGAAGGACATTATTCTACCCAAAACCTAGAAAACAAGTGAAGCAAATGGCTGTTATCTGGGTCATTAACCCTCAAAAGGTACCCTGGAAACTTGAATAGAGCTTATACATTTGGAAAATTCCAAAGTATAAGAAAACAGTCTTTATATAACTGTGTTAAAATATCAAAATTTTCCTGAAAAAATTGAAAAGATAATTACCACATGATCCAACAATTCCGCTTCAGCCTCTGAGTGTACCTCTGAAATAACTGAAGCAGGGTGTCAACGAGATATTGTGCACATTCATTCACAGCAGTATTATTCACAAGAGCCAGAAGGTGGGAGACCCCAGTGCCCAGGCACAGATGGATAATGACCCACAATGTGGTAAACACACACAATGAGATAAGGCTCAGCCTGTAAAAGGAAGGAAACCCTCACACAGGCTCCAGCTTGGACCAGGAGGACTTTGTTCTCAAGGGAAATCAGCCAGTCACCAAAAGGTATATATGTGATTCCACTTCTATGAGGGACAAAGAGTGTTGAAATCCATGAAGACAGAAAGGAGAATGGGGGAGAAGAGGATGAAGAGCTCGTGGGTATAGGAACAGTCTTCGTGTTGCAAGATGAAAAATGTCCTGAAGTGGATGGTGATAATGGTCACAGAACCATTGTTGAGTGTACCCAATGCCACTGAAATGGCCAAAATGTAACCTCTGTTACGAATATTTTAACCACAATTTAAAAAAATATTAATAAAAATGTTAAAGGGACACTGTCTGATTTTCTTTATTTATGCTCCTCTCCTTGGTGGAGCTTTGACAAAGAACCCACCCCTCATTTCTCACGGGTCAAGAAAGGAATTCCTTCCTTAGTGAATGGCCCACTCTCACCCCAGTCCCATCTCTCTCCCTTACCCATGAAGATTGGGAAATATTTAAAATCATTCATGGAGATGCAGCTCTTACCTCCTCCTGTCCTTGGTAGGATCACCTCCAAGTTCAGCTCAGAAAAGACAGGGAATGCTGAATCCTGGAGGAGGCAAGGCAGGGCCAAGATTCAGTACTCACCAGCTCTGAGCCTCTATTTTAACATCCTGGGGGCTGATCCTTGCATGTGACAGAGGACAGAGAGGATTGGGTGATTCTGAGTGGTTCTTACACAGAAATGGTCAGGAACCCTCCATAATGAGTCCCAAGAGGTCAGAGATATAAGACAGTGAGAGTCACAGAGCTCTCAATACCCAGCCTCCATCTCCCTTCTCTAGGGAACAGAGGGAGGTGAGGAGTTGGCTATTCTCCAGAAAGACAAGGATTGCTTTTCTACTGTGGTCCTCAGACTTAGTGAGAGGCCCTGTTAGCGTACACATTGCTAGTACTTCCCTAGAGTCTCAGTCTTACTAGGGTTGGCCTATGTCCTAGGAATTCTGTTCTACCAAGTTTCCAGGTGACGCTGCTACAGCTGACCCAGGAAACTCCACTTTGAGAACCCACAGTGTAGCTCATTAAAATCGGCAAGGACACAATACATGACAGTGGTTCTGCTATCTTTGTCCAGAAGATCCCGGTGTCAGCAAACTCACAGAAAAACCAACAATCGGGCCACAGTCAAGGATGTTTGTTTTAGGACCTTTAGGAATTGCAATATAAGGAGACCCAAGGGCCAGGAGCAACTGTAGTGTGTGGTGACCAAAGTGGAAAAGGATAGAGTTTAAAAATGTAAAAATCACGACTGTACAAGTTGTTATCCACAAATTGGAATTGGTGGGAGCTAATGGTCACTGATAGGTTTGAAAGCCTATTGGCTGTTGTTGATAATCAGCCATGAGCACAGCAAGAGTAACTGAGGGTCCAGGTGCTACAGATCCTGTAGTTTGTTTGGCCCAGTCCCAAATATTCAGGGGAGGAGATGCATGGGCCCTCCACCCTAGAAGGCTTCCCAGCTCCATTCAAAGGGCTCTGAGACAAGGCGCAGGTACTTTGTAATCTCAGTCCTCACACGTGCAATTCCATAAACAGAGTTCCCTTTTGTGTGCCCACGATGGATTGTACATCCAATACTGCTGGGTGTAGGAGGAGGGTGGGGCAATGGGGACTTTGGACAATTTGGATCCAATATTTACTAACCCTTAGCAGCTTTGCAACTTTGAGGACATTATTCAACCTCTGTATTCCTCTGCTCCTTTATCTGTAATATGAGAAGTAAATCAACTAAATTTTTTTATTTTTATTTTTATTTCTTTAATGGGAATTGAATCCTGGAACAACTTTACCACTGAGTCCAATCAAAAGTTCTTTTTATTTATTTTTTATTTGGAGGCAGGGTCTCGTTGAGTTGAGGAGGCTGTCCTCAAATGTAATCCTCCTGTCTAAGGATTTCTAATCACAGGGATTACAGTTGTGTGTTACCACATCCAGGATTTATTTAAAAATTTAAAGCTCTTTTATTTTAAAGGACCATGACAAATTTCAGTGTGGAGATAAAAGAGTATGGGGCTCCCACAGTGGCAAGCTGAGTACCAGGACTGGTCTTATGCTGAGGTTTAGGTGTCTGCAGACTCAGGAGTGAAGGATGAGAGTCTGGATTCTCCTGCTTGGCCTGGGACCACACAGAGATGGGTCTCAGAACCACAGGTGAATGGGAGGCCAACCATTTGCAAATATGAAGTATCCAGGATTCTCATCACCTGTAGCTCCCAAGGAAAGCTTGTGTACCTGCACTGTGCTCCTGGAAGGAGATTTCAATGCAAAGACACACCCATAGATAACAAAAGTAATTGCATAAAGATTAAACATCCAATGCACCAGGACATTATAAAATTATGAATTAGAACTCCCTTATGATCCTTTGAATGAATCACCAGCAGAAATTGACAAATTATGATGCTATGTGATTTTAATATGTATAGCTCCATGACAATACAACGAGACATCAACAAAATTCGACACAGACAATATTGGAACATGATTAACAATTTGGACATACATAGAATAATGCTTTCGGTACTCATTAAAATTAATGACATTACTTATTCAACACCAGAGAAACACTTCATATGTTTTATGATAGGTGCTATATGCCTCGTTTTTAATTGCAACAGGAGTAAAAATATACAGAGAGCATGTTCTCTGACCTCAGCACAACTAGGCTGAAAATAAGCCACTAAAGTGTGACAAGAGATTTTCCAACTATTCAGACTTTAAGAAAGGCATTTCTACATATCACAGGGATTACATGAGAAATCTTAATGTATTGATTCAAATTTATGTATTTGTACCTTTTCCAGTGGACGAAATTAAGATGAAAATAAAGAAAGGAAAAAGGTGAAGGGAGAAATTGATTTTATAAGTAGTGAATGTGATAGGCTGGAAGTGCGCACACACACACACACACACACACACACAACACAAAATAATGTACTTGGAATTATGGGGAAGTAAGGAAGTTTATGATTTTATTAATAGGAAATTGTAGGTCCATAAATTACTGTTTAAGTTGTCTATGTTGAATGCAGACCAATTTCTATGTACATCCAACACAGTGAATTATTTCAGACATTCCAGTGTAAGAGACTCATTCCTCCAAGTCATTATTAAGTGTGTGACATGCGTCTGAAAGTTATAAAGGTGGGGAAATGGAGATCAGAGTAGAGTTAGTTAGTAAATGACACAGTAAAATATAGAAAAGTGGGATTCAATACCAAGCTACTTGTGTTAAAAGCCCGCCCTTAAATCCTTGGCTCTGAGAACTGAACACAGAGGGAGTCAGGATTCCTGCTGCACCCAGTGTGTGGGGGGGGGGTCCCTCCCCAGGGAGCACTCCCACTTCCAGGGAGGGCAGAGTCTGCATACTGTGCCTGAGGTCACCTCCCCCATGCCCCTGCCACACCCTGCAGGAGCTTCTCTGCCCTGGGGTGAGGAGGAGCAGCAGCAGCTGTCAGAGGACTCCCAGGTGTGGGGTGAAGGGAAGCAGCAGCCATGACAGCCCATCCTCAGGGTCCTGGACTTTGCTGCTTCTGTGACTCCTCAACTGTTCCACCCTCATGTGGTTTATGTTTTCAGAGTCCCTGGGAAGGGGTCCTGACTCAGGGGTGCCCCTGGCATGGGAGTGAGTTTGAGTGACAGGACTGGGAAGGGCACCCACCATGAGCCCTGAACAGCTAACCAGCCACCGGCTAACAGGGAGTCCTTGGAGGGCATTTGCCCTTTTTGGTTACTGAGAGGCCTGAGGGTCTCATTCCCCCACAGCTGTTTTATTCTCCTAATCTCAAGAGGTACTATTTTTCTGGAAGAACTGACTCACTTTGACTCAGTCTAAGATCTCACAGGCAAGGCAGGTGACAGATTCATGAAATGGAAAATGTCCCCAAGGTGAGTTTTCTCAAGGCCCCCTTCATGTCCTTGTTCCTCAGGCTGTAGATGAAGGGGTTCAGCATGGGGGTGACCAGCGCATACATCACAGAGGCCACTGTAGCCTTCCTGGGAGAATCAGTCACTGCAGAACTAAGGTAAACCCCAAGAGCAGTCCCATAGAACAAGAAAACCACCGACAGGTGAGACCCACAGGTAGAAAAAGCTTTGTACCTTCCACCAGTGGACGGGATTCTCAGGATGGAGGAAACAATTCGAGTATATGAAAAAATTATGCCAGACACAGGACCAATACCCAACAGCATGGTTGATAAATAAACCACAATGTTATTGATGAGGGTATTAGAACAGGCCATCTTGAGGATCTCAGTCAGATCACAGAAGAAGTGGGGGATCTCCAGGTGTTTGCAGAAAGACAGACGCAGCAACAGCAGAGTGTGCAGTAGAGCAACCACAGTGCTGATGAGCAGACAGATCAGGACCAACAGGACACAGAGGCGGGGGTTCATGACGACCATGTAATGCAAGGGGTGGCAGATGGCCACGTAGCGATCATAGGCCATCACAGCCAGCAGTAAATTGTCCATGCCTATAAAAACCACGAAAAAGCATAGCTGAGTGAGGCAGCCTGCATAGGAGATGGCTTTGCTTTCTGTCTGGATGTTCAGCAGCATCTTAGGGACTAAGGTGGAGGTGCTACAGATGTCAGCCAAGGACAGGTTGGAGAGGAAGAAGTACATGGGGGTGTGGAGGTGGGAGTCAGAGCTGATGGCCAGGATGATGAGCAGGTTTCCAAGCACTGTGACCAGGTACATCGTCAGGAACAGTCCAAATAGGATGGGCTGCAGCTCTGGGTCCTCTGAGAGTCCCAGGAGGAGGAATTCTGCTGCAAGTGTTTGGTTTTCGGACTCCATGTGGTAAAGAGATCTGCTGGATGATAGAGACATGGTCAGCAATGGAACACACCCAGTTATCACTTGGTGGAAAAAAATCTTTGGTAATGACTTAAAATTGTGGGTCCTATTTAAACATTTCCTCTCTTCAGCTTCTACTCTTTATTCCTTTCTTCACTCACTCATTCTAGAATTTATATTTTTTGATTTAAAAAATAAAATGACTGTGTTTTTAATGTTACAATACAAAAATAAAAATATATGCTATTTCATTTATTACGAATTATCACTCCTAAATGCTCTGACTTAACCTAGTATTAAATGGTCTTCAATTATTAATACAGTTTCAATCCTGGTTTGATGACATCTTTTCCTAAAGAATTTTAAGTCTGTCATTAATGTCATTCTCTCTGTCTCTGCCCATCCTTGCCAAGTTGAGTATTGCTCAAAATTGCTATCTCATGTTTTTTTTCCTTCCTCCTTGTGAGAAATGAGGCAATCCAATCACTCCTTTAAAGATATTATATTGTTCAATCATCTCAAGCATTCCATTATGACTTATTTAATTTAAAGGAATTCCTTTTTCTTTTCTTTTAATATTTATGTTTTAGTTATAGGTGGACCCAATAGCTTTATTTTATATTTATGTGGTGCTAAGGGTTGAACCCAGTGCTTCACGCATATTAGGCAAGCGCTCTACCTCTGAGCCACAATCCCAGCCCCAAGAATTCCTTTTTTCTACATTGACTTTGTGTGTGTGTCTGTGTGTGTGTATGTGTGTGTGCCTGTGCGTCTGTGTGTGATGATGATTTGTGATTTGGTCCTGAAGTGAGAAACATTTCTAATAGTTCTGAATGAATCTCAACATTGTGTCTTTTTTTTTTTTTTTACAACTATTGCAACCATAAAGAAAATGACTCTCTGGTCCTGAAAAGAAAAGTAGATTGGTGTTTTTGAAAGTCTGGTTCATTTATTCATTTTAAAAATTATTTATTTGTAATTGCAGTTTATTTCATTGCTTTGCCTTCTAGGAAGCTTGGAGTCTGATGAGTGGATCATGTCTGGAAAGAACATTTCAGACACGCATATTTTCACTGATTTTTTTTTTCTGAGCAGAAGTTTCCAGACTGTGCCCGTAGGGCAATGATTTTGTTATTATCCCTCACACTTAGAGCTCTCCAGAGGGCCCTCACCTGTGTGAGTTTTTCAGAGAACTCCAAGATGCAGGTGAAGACCAACACTGCCTTGTGTCACGTGTCCACGGCATTCCACCCAGCACACCTTTAAGACACGCAGGCTCCCTCTGTACCTGGCCCTTGTACGAATCCTATGTGTGCTGATGTCCTCTTAGCCATCTTCACCTTGTGAAACGGACACTCCCTATCCTAGCTGAGTCAGGAAATCTGCCAGTGTGAACAGTGCTAAGAGCTGATGTGCAGATATGTGACTGACTAAAGTGTGTCATGGCCAAATGACATGCTTCTGGTTCCATCCACATTGATGGATATGACAGAAAGTGAAATGAGCCAGGCACAAAAAGACAATAATACTCTATGTTTCCTTTCATATTTAGAGGCTAAAAAAACTTGATTTCATAGAAGTAGACAGCAGAGCGGTGGTCACTGGATCTAGGGATGGGAGGAAGAAGGGTGACAAAGGGAGGCTGGGGAACATGGACCACTGTAGAGTCGAGAGCAGGAATGTGTTCTAGGGTGCTACAGCATGGTAGCCTGGCTACGGTTTACAGCCATGTGTTATATATTTCATAAAGAACCTAAAAAATATATTGCAAAGGTTCCCAAACCTAAGCAATGATAAACGTTCTTATGGAAATACTAATCACCTTCATCTGATCACTGTACATTGACACATATACTGAATTTTCATACTGCTCTTTATGTGTAATTTTAATGTATCAAAAGCTCCTTGCTTCTCCTTCTAAGTGGAGTAGGTTCAAATCTCAGTGTAGTTTTGATGTGCGTTTTCCTGGTGGTTAAATATGCTGAACATTTTCTCTTGTAGCAGTTGGCCGTTTGCACTTCTCATTTTGAGAAGTTTGTGTTCAGGCTATTCAACCATTTATTGATTGGATTATTGTGGGTTTTTTTTTAATTTGAGTGGTTTGTGTTTTGAGCTTTTAGTACATCTGGGATCACAGCCCTCTTTCAGAATAGGAGCTGGCCACAACTTTCTCCCAGTCTGACAGTTTCCTCATTATTGTGTTTTATCCCTTGCTGTACAGAAACTTTTTGATTCAATGTTTATTAATTCCTTCCTTATTTCCTGAGCTATGGGGTCATTTAGGAAGACTTTGCATATACCTAGGTGTGAAAGTATTTCTCCTTTTTTTCTCTTAATATTTGCTGTATATCTGGTTTTATAGCCAAAATGCAAGCATAAAGAATAAAAAATAACAAAAAGTGCTAGCTAAGGTATGGGGCATGAATGACCTATGGTGGTGGGAATGACCACTGGTGGTGGGAAGCTAAATTAGTCCAGCCCCTATGGCAATAAAAGAGGTTTTCCTGAAAAAGCTAAAAATGCATCTACCATATGATCCAGCACTCCTTGGTACTGGTCAAAAAGGGCTAAAGTCAGCATGGTTTAGAGACACATGATTAGCCATGTTTATTGCTGCATGATTCACAATAGTCAATTAGGGCAACCGCCCAAGTGTTTATCCATAAAGATAAAGAAAGGTGGTACCACATGATAGACTTGGACAGCCTGATATTGAGTAAATTGAGTGAGACTCAGAGAACAAATTATTACATATATTATCTCCTATGTGGAAGCTAAAAGGGGAAAACAAATTGGAAGGGAAACAAGAAGAGTAGAGGAAGGGGATTTGGGAGAAACCCATGGGAGGTGGGGAATAGCATTGGGGAATGAAATTGATCAAATTGTGTCTTCACGCAAGCATGAGTACACCACAAAGAGTCCGCCATTCTGTGTAAACAATATGCACCAATTGTTTAGATTTTTAGATGAATTTTTAAATTTAAGTATTTATCTGAGGATGTGCACGTGGGAGGATGTGCATTCCCAAGGGAAGTGGCGGAGGGGCCTGCAGGAGTCCTGAGAGAACCAGGGAGACTGTCAAGCATGTTTTTCTTTCTGCCTGTATCCGCGCCACTTGAAAGGATCACAGACCACAGGATGCATTATGAACTGAAGGAAGAAGGACATTAGTCTACACAGGACAGAGAAATGAAATGGAGCCAAGTCCAGCTGTGTCATTCAAGGGACTGAGCTTTGCAGACATTAATGAAGAAAGGTCCACAGTTCTAGGGATATTGTGATGAGTCTGGAAATATTATCATTATTTATTGCTGTTGTTACTTTATTAACAATGGCACAGTTGTTGTAAGAAGAAGAAGCTGTCTTGTTACAACACAGGAGAGAAAAGTTTCAGCTCTGTTTAGAACCTTCCCTTTCCCCTGGATATACTGATACAGGAGCTTCATTGACACTCACTTAGGGCTCTTGAAACGAAAATGGTGCTTATATATTTGTAAAAATAAAAAGTTCAATGAGAAAGGATTTCTTTTAAAATGTTAAAGGTTTTCTCAGAAAATTAAAAATAAAATTAATAAATAGGGGCTCGGTGGCATTTATCTCAGCTACTCATGAAGCCAAGGCAGAGAAATATTTCTAGAGTCCAGGAGTTCATGGTCAGCTGGGCACCTTAGAAAGACCTCACTGAAAAATAAATCATGATAAAAAGAGTGTTACCACACAATCCTGTAATTACAGTTATGGGTTTGCTTATCCAAAAACACTGGAAGCAGGGTATTAGAGAGATGTGTACCCCACATTTACTGTAGTGAACCAGGAAAAATGACTTCCCTACTAGGGAGCTCACTAGAGCTGGGGAAGGAGGCAGAGGAGGGAAACGGGTTTGGTTTACTGGTAGCTTTGAGGAATTCAGAGGAGAGCTATTTTCTGTCTTAAATCTCCATCTTTCAGGAATCAGGCGCTCAAAAAGCTTTTATAAGACAGAGCTGACAATGGGATAAAAGGCAGTCTATGCATATATAGACTGTGGCAGGCTGCATTCATCAGAAACCAGCACAGACTGGGCTTCCTGAGCTGGTCAGGGCCAGACACAGCTGCTCAGCCTCCATTCTCAATGTGAAGAAGTTGAGGAGCTAAATCAATTGGGAGCCTTTGATTTCCAAGGTGATCCATATCATCAGCATTATTCACAGGACCAGCAGGTGGGAGAAACGCTAGCGTCCAGGTACAGAGGAGTGAAGGCAACCAACATGGCATGTGGGTAGAGCAGAGTAGCCACTGCCCTCACCAGAAGGACATTTCCCACGACAGGCTGAGCCTGGAGGACCCTGTGCTCAGTGATGTGAGCAGCCACAGAAAGGCAGAGGCTGGCCTGCACTTCCATGGGACACCAGGTACTGACATTCACATCGAGGGGGAAGAGGAGTGGGGCTGTGAAGGCTGGGGGCAGAGAGTGAGGAGTTAGTGTGGATGGTCCAGAGATTGGGTTTTGCAGGATGAAAAGTGTCTTGAGGATGGACGTTGGTGATGTTTGCAAAACATCATGAACATGACTCAGGCCTTATAATTGTCAACTTAAAACTGGTTGTAATTGTAAAGTTTGTTATGTTTATTTGCCACAAATTAAAAATTAATTAATAAAAAGCATTGAAGGAACACATTTCTGAGTAGCGTCATTGATGCTCCTCTGCTAGATGGAGCTTTGAGAAACCACCCACCCCTCATGTCTCCCTCTGCATGCCGGAGAAAGCCCTTCTCAGGTACAGTCCCACACTCACCCCTGTCCCCTCTCTCTCCCTCAGTCAGGAAGCTGCTGATCAGGGAACATTTAGCACATTTAGGGAGATGTACACCTTTCCTCTGCCTGTTTTTGGTTAGAATCACCTCCATGTCCTGCTCAGAATCAGGGGCTGAGGTGTCTCCAGGAGGAGTGCACACAGGGGCAGGGCTTACACACTCACCGCCTGGGTCCCCTCTCCACTCCGGAACTTGGAAGACTGATC